TATGATCATCACAAGCCACCGTTGCCATCAAATACTTGAATGGAGGTCGTTTAAGCTAAACTACGTTGGAAGTATAAAATATATGAAAACATTGGAAAAATTGCTTAGAAAAAAGGCAAATGCTCCATTAATTTTTAATATTGATTACATATTAAGGTGACAATATTTTGGATATATTGGATGAAATAAGATATATTTAAAAAATTTTAAAAAGTTCTTTCTTGTAAAAGAGGTGACTTAAGTAAATAGAATGGTATACAAATAGAGAAGATTATAGAAAATGCTTATATATCTAAACCTCAAAACCTTCATATATGGATATGTGAGTAGTTAAATAATTAAGTACAGTAGCTTGACTGATATAAATGACCCCAACGCAAGGTAGCTCCCTTCCTCTGTTAACAAAAACAAACAAAAAACTTCCCCCTTTCTCATTTGGGCATAGGAAATATGTTTGGATAAGAACTGCTGTGGTTGTTAGTGAAAAGAAAAATAATGTAACCCTGCCCATTTTGCTGATGGCAACAACCTTAATAAATATTAGGAGGCAGAAAGCAGAGAAAACAAGTTTGGGATGAAATAGAAAAAGATCTACTCACACTGGCTTATGGTTAGTCTCTAAAATGACTCCCAATGACCCTAGCTTCCTGGTAGCCATGTCCTTATGTAACAGCCTACCCTTGCATGTGACTCAACCCAGTGACTTTTAATGAACAGAATCTCATGAAAGTGATGGGATGTAACTGTTGAGATCAGGTCACAAAAGACCACAGCATGCTTCTTGCCTCTTTCCCTCTCTGAGCCCTTATTCTGGGAGAAGCCAGCTACCATCTTTTGAATAACCCTGTGCAGAGATCCATATGGCAAAGGACGGATGCTTCTGGTCAACAGCCAAGGAGGATCTGGGCCTTGCCAGGCCCATGTGAGTGAGCTTGGAAGCAGAGCCTTTTCTAATCAAGCCTTGAGGTGACTGCAGTCCTGGCAGACACCTTGATTACAAAGTTGATGGGGAGAGACCTCAGCCAGAAGCATCTAGCTAAACCTCGGCAAGATTTCTGATCCATAGAAACTGTGAGATAAATATTTGTTGTTTCCAGCCATTCACTTTGGGGATAATTTGTTATGCAACAAGAGAAAGTGAATACACCACCAGTATGGAAGAAGTGTGAAGAAAGGAGTATAGAATATCTGATTGACTGGGTCTATGTCTCTAACACTTAGCATAGTGCATAGTGCAAATTAGGCTTTTGATACAAGAAGGAAGGAATGAATGCATGAGAAGGGCAAGAGAATGATCCTTTTCCTAGCTCTACCATTTCATCATCAGGACCCTAAAGCAGCTCCTCTTTCTCATAGAATCTTTTAAAACCTTGTCTGAAAAGAGTTGATGTACTTCTGACTCATTCTTCTAATCACAAGACCTAAAAAAGAGTCCAGAGAAGCAGGTAGGGAACTGACACTGAGGCATCTTCCACTTTCATGAGAGACACATTCACCCAAAGCATTCTCTCTCTCTCTCTTTTTTTATTTTTATAGTTTTTAAAACAATTTATTTATTTATGCATACAGAACAGGGATACAGGCCAGAAGTGCAGGAGGTGAGAGGATTCACCAGAGACAGAGTGGGGAGCAGAACAGGCTGACTGACAAAGTACACTGCTGAGGGGAGCAGCAGGCATATCAGGAGAGGTCTGCTGTACCATGTGGGTCACCTCTGGGGCAGGGATCGAACTCATGCTGAAGTGGCTTTCACTTGTTAGTGTTGCGCTTTAACCCACTGTGCCACCAGGGAGGGCCCTCTTTTTTTATTTTTAGACAATTTTATTGAGGTATAATTTATCCAAAAAATATGCCTAAAAAAAGATTTGTTTATGCATACAAGAACGGGGGTACAGGCCAGATGTGTGGGGGTGAGAGGATTCATCAGAGACAGAATGAGGAGCAGAACAGGCAAATCAACTGAAATACACTGCTGAGGGGAGCAGCGGGCCAGACAGGAGTGGTCTGCTGCACCATGTGGGTCACCTCCCTGGATCGAGCCTAGTGCTGAAGTGGCTGGTGATAACTTCGGAGTGCTGTACTTTAACCTTTCATGCCACCAGGGAGGGCCCTCTCCCAAAGTATTCTTGTCTATCGAGATGTAGCTCAGCTTCAGATAGAAGGTACTTTTAACATTATCAGCTCTAAAAAAGGAAATAGAATTCCCATCTCCATTTCAGAAGCAGTTCATTTGGAACAGGTCCATTGGGTATATTTTTCCAGAACAAAGGAAGAGTTGGGTTTAAAGAACACTGGCAGCTTTGCCCTTTCTAGAAAGGAATGTCTTGGAGCTTGGAAGTACCATTTTTGTTGTTTTTCTTTTTTCCTACCCTTATCCAGCAAGGTTTGAAAAAAAAAAATTGGGAGCATTGGTTTTTCACACAGATGGACCCCTGGAACTCTGTAGCCAATCATCTCCCCCATACTATCTACTCATACTGCCTGCTCAGGCTAGTTTCCGCCTGCCTTTGTACCATTACAGCACAAAGTCTTTTTTGCTCTCAAAGTCCTGTGAGAGGAGAGGACATTGGCAATGTCAAATATTAAAAAAGGGATGTTAAAAATAGAGGCTAATTCAGTCCTCCCTGGTGGTGCAGCAGGTTAAAGCACAGTGCTAAGAAGCTAAAACCACTTCAACATGAGTTCGATCCCTGCCCCAGAGGTGATCTACATGGCGTGGCAGACCTCTCCTGACCCACCCGCTGCTCCCCTCAGCAGTGTACTTTGTCAGTCAGCCTGTTCTGCTCCCCACGCTGTATCTGGTGAATCCTCTCACTGCCCCTGCACCTGTGACCTGTACCCCAGTTCTGTAAGCATAAATAAATAAATCTTTTTTAAGAAATAGAGGCTAGTTCATGTTAACAGATGGGACCATTATCACTTAGAAAGACAAAGTCTCAAGTGGTCATATTTTCTCCTGTGAAAATGAAAGAAACTTAAATAAAACAAGCCAATCAATAGTTAACACTTCATGAATAGCAAACTGATATGAAAAAAAGACATTTTATTTGTTAGTGTTGTACTTAAATTTATTCTTACCCAAACAATCAGACTTCTCTGATCAAACTGAATGCAGATGGAAACATGCTTTTTTTTTTTTTTTAAGATAAATGTTGTGAATATAAGCACTTCAGGGTTGTTTACTTAAAAAATTCAGAACTTAATGCAACGAACTTATGTATAGTCTTTTCTGTGGACATATTTTCCATAAGGTGTTTATGATCTATGAGTGATACCAAATACGATGATAATGGCATCTTTCATAGAGTGCCAAGTTGTTCCACTCTTTCCCCACACCACCACTTTTAACCCTCACAGGTAACGTTTCTCCAGGATTGTTATTTAACTTAGAGATAAGGGAAATGACTCCTAGAGAGGTCAAATCATTGGTTTAAGTTAGACATGTACAGCTTACAGCAGTGACATTGGGAATAAAGTCCGGGTTTGTCTGATGCTGAGTTTCTTACTGACAAAGGACTTTGTGATATATTAACAGTTTCTTCAATATAAGTTCATTAAAGATGATTTTGGTAGGAAAACCTGTTGGGTAGCCTTCAAGACCAAAGTCTTGGGCTTCTCCATCGTAGGAAGCAGAGTAGGGTTGCAAAGTTGATATTCTAAGGAACTGAAGGGACAGCGTCACCAGGTGTGCACTCTGAAGCCCCATTTCACTCCTCAGTGGAAAACTCACGTGACCCAGATGCAGTAGTGCCGACTGACAGATTCATAGCTTTCCTTTGGTTCTACAGGAGATGGTGAATGATTGTTATTTTTTTAAAGATTTATTTATTTATGCATACAAGACTGGGGACAGGCCAGAGATGCGGTGTGGGGTGGTGGTGGTAAGATGATTCACCAGAGACAGAGTGGGGAACAAAACAGCAGATTGCCTGAAATACACTGCTGAGGGGAGGATCGGGCAGGTTAGGAGAGGTCTGCCACAACATGTGGGTCAGCTCCCTGGCTGCAGTGGCTTCCGATAGCTTCATCGCACTGTGCTTTAACCCATCGCGCCACCAGGGAAAGTCCGAATGATTGTTTTAAGTCAGTACAATGTAAGTGATTAATTCCCTAACAGGACAAGACAGAATGTGGTAAGTGGCATAGGAGAACCTTCTAGAAAATGTCACTGGGGCTCAGATATTAGAAAATAATAGAAAACAAAGCTTGCATTTGCAGAATGCTTCATTTGTGCCAAGCACTATGCTAAGTGCCTTGCACGCATCATCTCATGCAATCCTTAGAACAAATAATGAATAATGTGGGTACTTTTGTTATGTTCATGGAAAACTGAGAATTTCCATATCTTTTTCAAGGCCACACAGCCAGTGAAAAGGAGAGTTAGATTCAAACCCAGCATTGTCTGGTGACCTCAGAGTTTCTAAGTGGATGACTCAGGGAAATCTTTATAAAGCACGTGGTGTTTAAGATGGACTCTAAAGGATAAGTAGATGGCCACAGGCCAAGGTCATTCCAAGTAATAATGACCTAAGCAAAGGCATGCTTGTGGGAGTGGGTGGGAGAGCAAGTGATGTCACGTGAGCTTTGGGTGGTCACAGATTATAAAGGAGAAGAGCAGACCAAAGCAGCATTTGGAACCACGGTTTGAAGGTCTCTGGGTTCCAAGCTTAGAACATTTTTTTTAACATCACAAGTAAAACTTTTTATTTGTCACCATTGAAAGTCTTAATTTTAAACAGATTCCTCAACTGCTGGTTCATAGCCATCAACTCATCCAACTCCAGCCCCTATCTCATTCCTAGTAGCTTTTCTGAAATTATTACCACCACTGTGAGGCTCTTTGAGTTTTCCCTATTCCAACTTGGGCTTCTTCAGCATTTCACTTTTGTAACAGTGACAATCATAGAGCAGGTAAATAGGTTGGCATGCAACTCTATATCTCTCCCAATGTGTCTGGAATCAATTTATTGACCACCTCTTTCAAGTCATGTCTGTACCTCTCAGGTGATGATTTCCATCTTCTTCAGGATTTTTTTAAAGATTTATTTATTTATGCATACAGAACTGGGGTACAAGCCAGAGGTGCAGGGGCGGTGAAAGGATTCACCAGGGATAGAGTGGGGAGCAGAACAGCCAGATCGACGAAGTACACTGCTGAGGGGATCAGTGGGCGGGTCAGGAGAGGTCTGCCACGCCATGTGGTCACTTCCGAGGCAGGCGGGGTTCGAGCTCATGTGGAAGTGGCTTTAGCTTCTTAGTGCTGTGCTTTAACCCGCTGCGCCACCAGGGAGGGCCCTCTTCAGGATTTTTAAGGGACCTGTTGGTGCTGAGCTTCTGCGGTCTTATGTGTCTGATTGTTGTGTTTTTTACTATTTTCAGCACAGAATAGATAAAGCAAATAACCAACAGTCTTGACATCAACATGGGCCTCATTCATGGTCAGCCATTTTTTGACCACATAGCACATTTTATCTTGGATAAGATCCATGCCATAAAAGTTAGTCAGATAGTTTTCGCCATGAATAACTAAAGAAATTAGCTTGAATTTTCTAAATGCAACTTCATTATCTTGAACGTCAGCAAGATTTACTTCAAAAACATAACCCTGAAGTCCATCAGATGCCATCTTGGATCTTTGAGTTCTCATGACTAGTGTTTTTCCAATGTTGCTTGCGTTAAACACAGCTGACAGTTTCACATCATAGCAATATTTCTTAGGAAATAGATCAACTTTCTTCTTGACTCTCTTTTGGTCCCCTTTCATAGTTGTTTGTTTTTTCCAGCTACTATGGTGCTGCTCAGACAGACACAAGACAGCTGAAGAATTTGTATTCTGTAGCTGTATGGGCTTGCTGGGGCTGTCGTAGCAACGCATCACAAGCTGGATGTCTACAGAGCAGACATTTACTGTCCAGAGCTATGGAGGCCTTTAGTCACAGATCAAAGTTATGACAGGTTTGGTTCCTTCTGTGGGCTGAGAGAAGGATATACTTCGGGCCCGCTTGTAGACGACCTTTTCCCTGTGTCTTCACATTGTCTTCCTTCTGTCTGTGACTGTGTCCAAATCTTGTCATAGAATAACACTAGTCAGATTGGATCAGGGTCCAATCAGGGTAACTTAATTACCTCTGTAAGGAATCTGTCTCCCAATAAAGTCATGTCATTAGGTACTAGAAGCTGGGGCTTCAACATAAGAATTTACAGGCGGTGGAGGTGTGGATATGTGCCCACAATTCAACCTATTAACACTAGTCAGGCAGATGGTTCAGCAAGTTTATGGAGACTGGTTTATTTTTAAGAAAACTGTTTAATGTCAGACTTTCAAATCAGGTACATAAAATGAAGTGATGCAAATCATATGAGTAAAGAGGATAATAAATTCCATAATGCATTGCTTTCATGAGAAGAAAAAACCTTTCTATTTCAAAAGAATAACTGCAGACATTTTTTACATTAAGAAAAAGGGGCAGGGCCCTCCCTGGTGGCGCAGCGGGTTAAAGCACAGAACTGAGAATCTAAAGACGCTTCCGCATGAGTTCGATTCCCGCCTGCCCCAGAGGTGACCCCATGGCTTGGCAGACCTCTCCTGCCCGCTGCTCTGCTCCCCTCAGCAGTGTACTTCGTCGATCTGCCTGTTCTGCTCCCCACATTGTCTCTGGTGAAGCCTCTCACCGCCCCTGAGCCTCTGGCCTGTACCCCAGTTCTGTATGCACAAATAAATAAATCTTTAAAAAAAAAAAAGAAAAAGGGGCAGTTGACTGGTTGTTTGTGGATGGTGACTAGACACTTGGTGTGGGGAGATATATACAGTTGCTGACATGGGAAACTGTACCCCCAAAGCCTACATGTCATGTTGTAAACTTATATTATCTCAATAAAAAGGAAAAGGAGTAAGAAAGGGGGACATCATTTATGTCCAGGGAGATACCTTTGTTTAGGAAATGTCTCCATGACCCTGGAGCTTGAATGGTGAACCCCCATGCAAGTCCTGGACATTGAAAGAGCAGAATAAAATGAAAGAATACATTTTCAAGATGAGGAAATTGAGGCTTAAGAGGTTAGTTGACTTCTTCCAGGCACACTGCTAATAAGTTGGACTAATTCCAGAAATCTGGGACTTCAATTCCTTGTTTCCTACTAAGCTCTTGATAATAGGAACACCTTGCCTTCTCATAGCCATTCCATATAGAATCTACCTAACTATGCAGTGCCCTAACTATGCAAATCATTCTACTAAAGAATGATTTGGAGAAAGGATATGAAATAAGGAGGAAGGAAGGTGAGAATATGGAGAGGGGGCGGAGGGAAGAGAAAGGTAGAGGAAACAACAAGGAAGGAGAAATGGAGCTGGACCTTTGGTATGGGGGGAATAGACGGGGAACCTAATACAAGCACCACTGTAAGTTTTTTTTTTTAAGAGTTTATTTTTTTATGCATACAGAACTGGGGTACAGGCCAGAGGTACAGGGGCGGTGAGAGGATTCCCCAGAGACAGAGTGGGGAGCAGAACAGGCAGATCGACATCGACTAAGTACACTGCTGAGGGGAGCAGCAGGCGGGTCAGGAGAGGTCTGCTGTACCATGTGGGTCACCTCAGGGGGCTGGGATCGAACTCATGCTAAAGTGGCTTTAGCTTCTTAGTGCTGTGCTTTAACCTGCTGCGCCACCAGGGAGAGCCCACACCCTAAGTTTAGCCTCAAGTGGTACATAGGGAAAGAAAACAAAGAAGAAAATTAAAATGACAAAAATGTTTAGACTCTAAACCAAATTATTGGTCACTACAAGGGAAAAGGATGTCAATTCTATGGCAAAGGGCAGATTTGGACTAATAGTGGTGAACTGAATATAGAAAATATACATCGATTTATAGTGATGCGCACTAGAAACACAGTGTTATAATGCAATCATTTCCATAAAAACTAAACTGTATATTATATTGTGAGCAATATGGTCCCCTCCTTTCAAAAACAGTTGTACATGCAATCCCCTTTTTCTAGTGGTGTTTGGGGGCATTGCTTAGTGAGGTAGATTCTATATGGAATGGCTGTGAGAAGGCAAGGTGTTCCTATTATCAAGAGCTTAGTTGGAAAGAAGAAATTGAAGTCTCAGATTTCTGGGATTAGTCCAGCTGATTAGTGTGCCTGGAGGAAGTTAACTAACCTCTTAAAACCTCAATATCCTCATCTTGAAAGTGGGGACAGAAATGGGACCTATGTCCTAAAGTTGGTGTTTGTGAGGATTAAATGTGGTGGTATGGTTGTAAAATATTTGGAGCAATGCCAGACCCATAGTTAAGTGCACAATAAATACTAGCTGTGGAAAAAGTCAAGGGGTACTTGGAATGGGGGCTCAAAACATATTTTCCCCATTAATTATTGAAAGTCAAAGCCGGGAGGAAGGAAATCTTAGGAACACCCAGCCTGGGAGCATATGGGTGGGACTGTCGGAGGGAGTGTGCAGAAGAATGAAATTAACAGAAATTCCTGGAAGAAAAGCAAGGCGCAATATCAGCTTTAATTAACTTGATCAATAATGAGTTCAACCCGTCTCACAGTTGCTCTTTCTGCCTTTCTTGCAGTTTGCTCTGTTTTCAGCAATTGTGCAATTGGGTAAGTACCTACCATATTGATTTACATTTTAATAAATGGTAAGAATACAGAAAATCATGACATCTATGTGCCCACCACCCATTTCTATCAGCTTGGCATTTTGCTTGGCATTCTTTATGCCCTTGTGTTTACTTATTTTTGTTGAGAAATGAAATGTATATACATATAATCCTCCTGGATTACTTCTTCCTCCCTTCCAGTCCATGAAAGGGTTTCCCTAGAATATGTTTCTATGTAACACAACACGGATGATGCTTTCTAGTTTTGTGCACAAACAGTTCAGGATCCTGAATTAGATTTTTATCATCCTTATGTATATTTTAATGAATTTAACTCCTATGACTGTGTGCATAAACTATTTTCTTTTACAAGTTTTAAACCCTATTAATGTTACCACCTTGCATTTAAACTTGCAATTTAGTGTTATTTATTTATTTATTTATTTATTTAGTTTTGGTGACCACTTATGTTGTTGAAGTCATCCATACAGATAGCATAACATGAAGTTCCATTGTATAAAAATGTCACAGTTTATATTTTCTCCTGTTGGTGGATATTTAGGTTATTTGTTTTCCTTTTTTCTCTATTATTTTTTCTTTCTTTATTTTTAATATATTTTCACATCATTCTTCCTTTTTGTACAATGTATGCTTTTCCATCTTGCTTGTAATCCCCATGGACTTCCCATCACTAATCCATTACCATAGTCCCGTGTGCTCTTCCCACCCCTGTCTTGATCCTGTTCCCCTCGCCCCCCCATGTAGAATATCTCTGGTTTATAGTTGTTTGTTGATTTTAGTTTTTACATTATTACCATTACTTTTTTCTTTTTTTTTTTAACCTGATTAAGTTATTTCTAATTTTTTTTTCTGGTGCTACAGCAAACATTCTTGTATATATTGTGAATTGTGTAAGAGTTTCTCTATGGACTATACAGAAGTGGAGTTGTGGAACTTCAACTTGTCGATACAAGTTGCTCTCCAAAGTGATTGTACTGCTGTGCTAAATCCACCAACTTCTTTTACATCTTCTGACAATTGTTATTGTCAGATTTTATGATGTTTACCAATCAAATAGTTGGAAAATATTATTATTCTGTTGTCTTAGTATTAGTATTAGCATTTCAATAATTATTGGTGAAGTTGAGTAAAATATACTCATGAACTTATTGACCATTTGGGTTAATTCTGTGACTTAGCTATTTAAGTTTCTTAAATATTAAATGAAGTAATATGTATACACAATTAGAACAGTGCCTGACACAAAGCACATGAAAAATATTAGCTATATTGCCTGTTTTTTCTATTGAATTACTTTGATTTGTAGTTTTATATACTTTCATATAAATCCTTTGTTAGATCATTTGCATACAATGTCTCTCAGTAGTTTTTACTTTCATTTAAAAAAATTGAGTGATGATGCTTTACAACACTACATATGTTTCAGCGGTCTACAACAATGTGTAAGTTTGAGAAGTACAGGTTGATATCTCTTTAAATGTTTGCTATCACACCACACCCACCACCAAAAGCACCCATAATGTTCTGCCATATTCCATTGAACACCCACTACCCTACCCTTTGTTCCAACCTCCTACCCCTATTTGATAATCTCAGTTCTGTAGTCAGAATCCAAGTGTGTGTGTGTGTGTGTGTGTGTGTGTGTGTGTTTCCTTTATGCTATTGCTTTATATTCTACATATGAGTGAAGCCATCTGGTATTTGTCTTTCTCCTTCTTCCTTATTTCACTCATCATAATCCCCTCCAGTTCTATCCATGTTATTGCAAATGGCAAGAGTTTGTCTTTATTATAGCTGAGGAGTATTTTATTGTGAATATATGCTATATCTGCTTGATCCACTCATTTGTCATTGGACACTTAGGTTGTTTCCCTACCTTGGCCAATGAACATAAGGGTATATATACCACTTCAGAATAGAGTTTTTGTATTCTTTGGGTAGATATCTAGGAATTGAATTGCTGTATCATATGGTAGTTGTATTGTTAACTTTTTGAGGAACCTTTAGACTATTTCCATAGATGCTGTACTAGTTTATATTCCTACCAACAGTGGATGTGGTTTATGTATTTTTAATTCTTATACCATGCATACATTCATTTTAGATTCAATGAGTCAAATGTATTATTCTTTTCCAATGTGTTTGTATTTTGTGTCCAGTTAAAGACATCCCTACTGATATTATAAAAGGCCTTCTTTCTTATCAAAATTTTTAATTTTTACATTTAGGTTTTAAAATCTATAGAG